TGATGATGATGATGATGATGATGATGCAGTCTCTTATGGCTGAAGCTTAGAGTAACTTGGGGGTGAAAACTTTCGCCTGAGATATTTGAGGATGTAGAGAGGAATACAACTGACAGAGGTGATCACCAGAACTTTCCACACAAAGTCCCAGCTCTTCAGAAAGTCTTCATCTGGAAAGAATAATAATAATAATAATAATAATATTTATTTAGAGTCTACAATCCAATTATGTTCAGTAGACCTTACAATACAATATGAATATATAGAAAGGCTAGTATATAATCGACTCAAACAAATTGATTTAAATAATGTAGAATTAAGTTTTACTTCATAAAGTCCTGTGAAATATATATTCATAATGATGCAGTTACAACTTTTACATTTTCTTGCCAGCTTGCTTCAGTAAATACTGTGTTGGACAAATATCTGTATTTATTTATTTTTGGAAAAAATTGTATTAAGCAACAGAAGACCAAGAAAAAAACTTACCAAAGTAGAAATTCTTGAGCACCACCAGAGATGCAACGTAAATGCCAAAACTGAAGATCTCCGCCACTGCCATCAGCCAATGCCAGGTCCGTATCGTCAAGGCAACCATCAGTAATTCTGTGAGGATGAGTGATGTGAAGGTGATGGAGACCACATGGATAAAGTCTTCATCAAATAGCAGGAATGCACCATACATGATTATACCACCTGAGTGGATAGGAAATAAAGCACCTGTTAGACAAACTGAAGCCATACATGATGGACATTACTGTGTTTTGGTATTTTCAACCTCTAAGTCAAAAACTAATGAATGTTATTAAAGTCAGCCTCTGTGTCAATGAGCAATATAGGAGTTTCACATTAGTCAGAAATGAATGCCAGTGTCGGATCCAGTGTTAAGCAGAGGGGGTTGGGGTGGTGTAGGGTGGGGTGGGGGTGGGAGTTGATACTGTTTTACCATTTCTAGCTCCCCATTTCTTTTTGGACATGCACTGCTATCTCTTCCACTTTTAGTGAAATTGTTAATGTTCAAACACTCTTAAAACTGATATAATAAATCAGACAGAGGAAACTTCAAATTCTATTAAATTTAGCTGGATAGCACAAGGTTTAAATATTGTCCTATCTGATCAATAAAACCAGGCATCACAAATACTGCTGTAGACCCTGTATAATACCACCTACCTTGGTACAGACTAATCAGCACCCATAAGAAGAAAGTTTTGAAGGAAAGCGACCTCCCCTGGAATAATAACAGCATCAGGCTCATTTTTCATTTTTTTTCCTCAAAAATCTTCACTCTAATTCATTTTTTTTCTTTCTGGCAAGAATCATCTTATTATTCAAGTGCCAGTTACTGAGCTAATGCTGGGGTGAATTTTATTACGCTAAAAAGCTGAATGATTCTGGACAAACGAAAAATCTGAACTATAATAATATCCAGCAAATGATAATCCATTAAAAAAGCAGTGAAACCTTATCCAAAGCAATTATACAAAAAGCTCGACGAAAAAACACGACTAAAATTTGACTTTATGCACATGAGACAAGACTCACGAAATCAACGCAAACAATACCTCGCATTGATCATTTAAATATGTTTTTCATATTATGATTATTATAAATATCCCAAGCCTTACCTTAGTGAGATCTTTATACAGTTCAGGGTAGGTCATTGCTATCTCTGCAGATACATCTTTATCTAACACCAGAGAGAATACTGGGTACATGGTGTAGATAGTGGCATAGCTGGAATAATACATCAAATACAGTGGCATTAGAAAACCTAGAGCATTTTAACCAGGCACTAATAGTGGCAAAGATGAAATAATACATCAATACAGTGGCATTAGAAAATGTAGAACTTTTAAATCTAAAACTTGTTTTGTATCTCTTAATACAGCACCAAAGAGAACAACAGGCACATGGTGTATTTAGTACCATAGCTGGAGTTTTTGGAGAGTTTGAAGTTTAATTAAAACTGCTCTTTTTGCCAGAAAAAGGGTAAAATTTGATCTAAAAAGATAGTTTCGTGGTAAAAAGGCACACTTTTTCAGAAAAAAAACCCCCCCCTTTGAAATTGCTGGCTACGGGCCTGGGTAACAGACTTGCAGCAACCCCTGTGGTCAGAGAGTAGCATATTAACTTACCCAACCATCAGGAAGCCAGGGAAGAGAGCTATGGAGGCAAAGTAAAAGACTGAGGAGAAGATAGCTTGCATGGTGGAGATGATCAGACCTCTGTGGATTACAAACTGGCTCAGCGACGCTGACCTCTTGTAGCTGGAAGAGATGTTACAGGTGCATTGTAAATAAAATGATGAAAAATGTGAAATAGTTTTATCCTTTGAGTATTTACTGTTTGAAGATCTCATGAATACAGGATATTTAGAATTAATTTTTTCTATTTTTTTTATTCATATAAATAGCAACTGCATCATGCAGCTAATAAAGTTTTGGATAATGAATATGATGATGTGTAATTGTCACTTTCTATAACACTGCACACTGTTTAAGGTGAGTTGTGAAACATTTCAGTTTCAGTACTCGGAGAAAATATTTATTGGTGAAAAATTAACAAAGATGTGGTACTGGCACATAGTATCCTGTATCACTGTAATAATAACAACATAAAATGATCACCTGTTTCTGCCGTGCACCAACAATAACCTGGCCACATGACTGAACTGTGTGATAGAAAAATCTGCTGCTAGGGAAGCCTGCTTACCCTCCTGCAAAAAATAAATAAATATATAAATAAATAAATGTTTGAGAAAATCTATCCGTCACAGCCACCTTGCCTTATTGATTCATTTCAACATTCTACACCAAAAAATCTGGGAGACATATTTCTATTAAGATATTGTTTTAAATTAGTAACATAAGTTAGAGTTCAAGTGATATAAGTTAGGGTGAAGCATATATGTTTGCTAATAAATTGGAAATATTTGGTGCTGCGGTAATTAAAATTGGTCTCACCAGTATTTGTGTAAGATGCATAACTAGGTAGTTTAAGATGGCCTAACCAGTAAGTGTCTGCAATGTGTACTGTTTTTACCACATTTCTATTGGATACATGTAGTTTATGCTGCCTTACCTTCCCTACAATACCTATCCCAGCATCTGCTGCCTGTATCATACTGACATCATTGCCACCATCACCTGATAATACAACATATATCACAACATGGACAGCTTTCTTTTTTTATATAAACCACAATAAAATAAAACAGGAAAAATAAAACCAAAATTCAGAAAATGTTGATTTAAAAGTGAGGGAACTGTGATAACTGCAGGCCAATATTAAGTTATAAAAATACTAAACATCATTTTTCAACAGGTAAAACATTTCAGATAGCTTTTACACTTATCCTTCCTTCATTGTAAAAAGTGGTGAAAAGCATAAAATACAAAAATTTTATAATGAACAGACAACAAATATCACCCTACCTATTGCACATGTTCTCTTCTTGGTGTGAAGTCTGAGCAATTTGACTATTTCTGCTTTCTGTGTTGGAGAGCACCTGCACACCACAACAGCAGGACACTGACAAGCCAGCTCCACAAACTCATGCTCATAGTACTTGAGGCATATCTGTATGAAATAGACGTATTACTATGACTATTACTACTGCTTTGCATTATGCCTGGAAGGATCTGCACTTCTTGCCAATTCCAACTGATCTTGTTTCATGTTACTTTTGACAAAGTGTCATTAAACTGTCAACTGCATAGCTAAAACTTACATAAAATTTAGGGAAAATTGATTACAGTTTTTGTCACTGGGAAATATATCATTAATTCACTTTTGTTATTTTAAATTAATATAATCTTAAAGAAATCATCTTGTTGGCAGCCTGCAATAAATCAGATGCTTTTGAGTGAAAGAAACTAACTGAGTGACAACATGCCCCACCCGCCTGAAATGAGTGGCACTTTAACATCATACCCCACCCAGCACAAGTGAGCTGGACTGTGACATCATGCCCCACCCACCTCAGATGATTGACAATGTAATATGCCACACCCACCTCTATTGATTGACAATCTAACATGCCCCACCCACCTCTAGTGAGTCTCCTTTTATAACCAGAGCAGAATCACTTTTCTTCCTGAATGTATTCAGTTCCAGGTGGGCCTCCTCCCTGCTGGAGACATTCCTGAACACGTAGATACTCTGCACCTTGGACACCAGGCGAGAGCTGGAGGCGATACACGTGGCTGTCTCCAGCTTGTCCCCTGTCAGCATCCATATCTGGGGGGAGAAATCAAAGTGATCATATTCTAGGAGACTGAATAATTAACGTACAATTATTTAATAAGATTTTAATGGTCTCTACAGCAAAATTGAAAACCGTCTTTTATTATACCCTGGTGGCCATTTGGTATAATAAAACAAATAGTGAACGGTCCCTTGGGGACTATGAAGAACAGATCCCAGTGAGAGGAAACAGGATCCTCCACTTCATGTAGTGGTCCCATTTCCTCTCACTGGGCACTATTTTTCACAGTCCCACCAGACTGAGCACTGTTTGTTTAATACATTCATTAACTCACTCACCCTGATCCCAGCATTCCTGAGCAGTTCCAGCGTGGGTCTGACATTATCCTGGAGTTTGTCCTCCACTCCTGTCAGACACAACAGCTCCAGGTCTCTCTCCAGGCTCTCCACCACTGCTGCCACCTTGGTCGCCCTGTCCTGGACACTTAGCTTAGCCTGGTGGTATCTAGACTGGAGACAAATGAATAGGGATGTGATAAATGATGGTCAACTCTCTCTCGAGTCACCTCCTCCCCCTATCTCTTAATCTCATAAAACTCTATCTCATACACACAAACACTCACACAAGCTAACTTACCTTCTCTTACCCCCTTACTATCTCTCTCTCTCTCTCTCAATCTGTTTTGTCTGTTCATCTCTAAACTAAAAGCAATCAAAGAAAGAACCGAGTGAAGAAATAAGATATCCCAACAAATATGGAATACTCCATTCAATATCTTACTTCAAAATCCTTATACTGGTCCTCTGACAGTGTCTTCTTTGCTACCACAAGAGTTCTCAACCCCTCCCTGGCCATGTTACCACACTGGAATTAGGACAGAAAACACAGTGAGATAAATATTGGTACAATTTATGCCCATTCTCAATGGATTTGCTTAATTCTGAAAAGTTTTTTCATATCTGACCACGATGATATAACCAAGGGGTAGAAGAGAACAAATACGTACCATTGTTATTTTGGTATTTTGATAGTTAGTTGTGCCAGTTTTTATTCATTCCTAAAAACTGTTATATGAAAATACTTTTAAGCTTCATATTACATTTCTGAGAATCTTGAAAAAATATGTGACATGGTTATTTTGGTGTATTGACAGTTAGTTGTGCCAGTTTTCCTTAATTCCTCAAAACTGTTGCACAAAATTACTTTTAAGCTTCATACTGCATTTTTGAGAATCTTGAAAATCTCCCCACCTCTTCTTCCAGCCAGTCATTATACTGAACAATAGAGATCATGACCACATCAGCACCCTTCATGTAGAAGGTGATCTCTCCTGTCTCCTCCTCCTGGAAATATCTTTATTTCTTACTGTGAGTTCATGGCATATTACAAAATACATTTAATGTTATTATACGTATAAAACAATCACTTTTGGTTAGATTTAAAACAGCAAAATTTGCAAAATTCATGGTAATATCAAGCAACAGAAAAGCAGGCTGATACCTATCATATTGTGATAATAACTCTTTCCAGCTACACTGCAGATTAACCTAAACTATTATTGTTTAATTTTATAAGATACATGAGATGAGAATTTGCAATTCTGAAAGATCTTGTACTTCAATGAGACGCATTCATATTTAAACTGTCCTTTTGATATCTATAGTCTATATATTTCTGTCATATCCTCACCCTGACTATGATGCCCATTCTCTTGGTTTCAGATGTGAAGGGGAAAATTTGGAGGATTTCATATCTCACGTGACGTCCACTTGGTATACTGAGCTGCATGGAGGTCAGATCACGCTTGACCAGTGCCAGACCTACACTCTCTGTCCAGCTGACTAGGGCTACCTACAATGATCAAAATAAAATACCTCCTGAACATTGTTGTCCCATATCTAATCTTTCCTCACCTCACCAATTCAAACCCTCATCTCCCCTCAACTGTCAGTACCTTTTCCAGCCCTGCAGCCAAGGAGGGTCCACTTGAATAAAGCAACCTTTTAGCTGCTTTAGGCAAAATTTGATGGAAGTACACAGTTTCATGGGAAAAGGTAATTTTTTTCAGAAAAAAAGCCTTCCTTCGAAATGGTTGGCTACTGGACTGCTTTCCTCACCTCTTAAATCGTTAAGTCTTTCCTCAACTTCTCCTCCCTTACCATTTCTTTACCCCACTGCCTCAAATCCTTTTCCTAATTTCACCTTCCTGTAGCCTTCCCTCACAGAACCCTTTCATGACCTTCTCTCACTCCATTCTTTTTGCACCCTTTCCACATCTCATAAATGCTAGCAAATATGTCTTTGTGGACAGTTGGGCAACTTCTGAAAGAAATTAACCTGCTTGCCCCAAACTGCAAGACAACAAAGAGAACAACTCCCAATAACAAAAGATAAGTAAAATCACCTCATCTGGACTAGAGGCCTGGTACACAGCTTTCTGTGTTGACTGCTGGTCAGCCTCTGTGTCTTGGTTTTCTGTGTCTGTCTCTTCATAGACTGGTGTGACGTTATGACACAGCGCCAGCGCTTTCACGGCCTCGTACACGCGTGTTACCACTGTGCGTCTTACTTTGGGAAGAGTGGAGGACTTTGACGTAAGAGGAGCTTGTTGAGAGAAGGCAGTCTTTAGGTGTGCCATGACCTGGAAACAAAATAGTATAAGAGGCTGTGAATGGAAAACATTTTCCTAAGTAATTTATTGTATATTTAATTAATTAAGCATTCACTATCAATAACTTAATTGAAATTCTTGTGTAAATGCATGCAAGAAATTACAATATGGATCCAATTAAAGCTAGACTGTTGACTTTCACATAAGACATATTTCTATTTACTTACAAAAATGACATGGAGAATTGTCATTACTCCTAGAATAGTGCATTCTTGACTATCATTATAAAATGCAACTAATATCTTAATACTCTACAGTTAAAGTCTAACTCCTACCTCATCCATGGTCTCTGGGCTGAAAGACACTGTGCCCAAATGTAACCTCTTGAATACCTGAAATAAACAATATGATTTGTTTACTTTGTTACCTAACAAAAATCACTGCCTTATCTTAGTATCTGCATCTTAATGTTTATGGCACTCTACAGCATCCCAAGCTTCAGTTTCAGTGATTAGGCCACATTTAAATTCATACAAAGTACTAGCGGGGTGGGGAGATTCTCGCTAAAGTGCAATCAGTTGTATCATCTGAATTGCCTGACACACCTCCTCCAGCAGGTCGGGGGTTATTAACTATCATGTGCTGATTAAGCTGATTCCACTGATTGCACTTTAGCAAGATTCCCCCACAGAGTTGGACTGAGTCATCTAGTATGCTGTGTGAATCTGAATGTGGCCTTAGAGACAAAAATGTAAAAGAAGCTGACCTGCAAGGAGCCTGTCTCATAGGCCATTCATAGTTGTACTATCCCTAAACTCACTGAAACATAACTGACAATTTAGACTTAGTATGTAAGTCTATAGCAATTTCAGACACTTTCTCATACTAAAGACATCTAATTATTGAAATTTAATCACCATTTCATTCTGTGTGAGAGTTCCAGTCTTGTCAGACAAGAGATAAGTGATCCTCCCTAGTTCTTCTGGTATAGTTGTGCTGCGTACCACGGTACCAGGGACCTCTTTGTCTCGCTGTATGAACCACGAGTAGGCCACCTTGCCCATGTCCAGGTTGACCCTCAAGCTGGGAGGGAAGAGATTGGGCAATATTATCATTTAAACTTCCATTTCATTTGTTAATATTATTGCACATTAATCGTACATTGTGTGCATTTTTAGACAGTCAAATCTCTGTTGTCAAATTATGCAAGAAAACGTTATTATAAGGCTAAGGTGCATGCAATTTGACATAACATACACCAGTAAGTGCAAAATAAATCTTATCAATATCTAAGACAACTTCATAAAGATAATATCATGGATTTTTTTTTCTGTCAAAAGAAATTTCTGTCATGAATCATTCACTTTTATTGTTGATTATTATGATGAGGGTACAATAGACAATCTTTGTATGTACAGCATCTTTACATACATGTAATACAGTGTAACATCTGAAAGCATGAAGTTCTACAGTTCTCTGAAAAGATGAAATGAGTGTTATTCTTCACTCCTAGCCTCACCTGATTGGGATAATGTAAGAGAACAGCAGAACAAATCTGAACATATATCTGTACCATGGACCTTGAAAACCCTGGAATGAGAACCATATAGTTTCTATACAAAACAGTACTTAAAGCAATCAAGTGTCATTACAGTGAGTATTCAAATTTTAAAGTAATTTATTATTTAAGGTATGACAAACTTGGTGAACTCTAGCACTATTTTTCTTTTCCTCAACAAAGTTTAATATCAGATCAATCCCAAAATTGTGCAGGTAAATATCTGTACCTTCAAACTTTTATCAGTAATTTAGCTGATATAACCTATTTTCATATTTCTTAAAGTTAAAGCTTTTTAGGTTAAACAAGATAAATTTAACATGATTATCTTAGCCAAGAAAAGTCAATTATTTGCCAGCAAATATCAAGCAACCTACCTTTATCACCATCATTACAATAGAGAGCACCAGTACAGAGAGAAATAACACCTTGGTCAGTGTATTCACCTCCAGGTCCAACAGTCCTACCTGAAATATAGGGGGAGGTCATTGGTGTATTTATCATGACAAATTTTATACTTAAATATTCATGGCACACCACATTTTACTTTGGTTTTAGTAGTGGACATATTCACAACAGACCACAAGTTACTTTAACTGCTTTTAGGAGCTTTGGTGTTAATGACAAACCACATATAAAACATTGTTTTTAGGAGCTGACTTTTCACATTATGTAGGGTAATTTGAACACATTTTAGTGCTCAATAAAGTATAACTATTATGTTGCTTTTAGGAGTTGACATATTCATTCATGACATTCCACGTTACGTTTTTCTATCAGAAGCTGACATTTTCATGACAGACCAGAGATTACCTTGCTCTTAGGTGCTGAGGTATTCATGACACTCCTGGTTTCAGAGCCTGTGTAGACCACCAGTCCCAGGGCAGTGCCTGAGGCCACCACAGTGTTAGCCCACAGAGTGTTCTCTATGGACAGAGGATCCTCACACTTCCCTCCATCATCCATCTGATAGAATACATACATAGCTTATAGACAGATACACATAACTGTGTACAATGAGAAAAATGTATGTAACTCTGATACTGGAACTTACATTAGCAACATACCCAGGTTGAGACCTCACCTGAGACCTTTCTTTCACTAGGTAATGACCTGGATGGGCTGGACATCTGATTTATTGACATACTTGTACAATAATATTTGGAATTTATATATATATAGGCCGGCGCAATACTTTGATAAAGAATAAGACAATATATCTGCAAATGTTGTAGATAAGGCACGATATTCTGGAACACTTTAAAGTGCTTAATTAAAATTATTTTCTTCAAATTAGGCTAATAGTCTCAACTTAATATTGAACAACATCAAACAGCTGGATCTAGGAATGCTTATTCCGCAAAAGAATTCTGTATTTACCAGAGGGAAGGTACTAATAATATAAATGTTGGTGGTTGTATTTTTTAAGTCTTTTATTTTCACTTACCCTCTGAAAGGTTCCCACAAAACTATGGATATCTTTCTGTGGTTTCTCAGCATAGGCCTGACCTGTTATTTCATGTAGATCCTACAGGGTAAACAACAATGAAACAAAATGATCTTTGATTAATACAGTGGATCAAAAGTTAATATATGTCCTGGTAAACTACAGTGTAAAACTATGAGGTAATATGTGGCTATAAAACTTCCTCTGTATCTCTCTCTGTTATGTTACAATGTCATGATAACATGTCATAGTACCATGTGAAATATGTGTTAAAACATTGGCAGCCCCCACTTCATCACTACTATTTGAGAGGTCCTTGATATCAGATGGTAACATACACCCACCTCATCACTATTATTTTAGAGGTCTCTGATATCAGATGGTAACATACACCCACCTCATCACTATTATTTTAGAGGTCTCTGATATCAGATGGTAACATACACCCACCTCATCACTATTATTTTAGAGGTCTCTGATATCAGATGGTAACATACACCCACCTCATCACTATTATTTTAGAGGTC